GCAAACTAAGAACTACGAAGATGCTACTGATTACTAAATAATTAATAATAAACGATAATACTAAATAAATAAATACTAAGACTAAACTAAATCAAATTAAAAAAATAATCGCACTGATTCAGTTTATAAAATATTTATTTTAAAACTAGTTTTCCTTCAAAAATTATTCCACCCTGTACCTAGCAATTTAATGAAGTAAGTTCTAATAAATGATTTTAATTATAAATTCTTGCATATTGCTTTAGATATTTCGGTTTATTTTTGACAGCATTGAGATAGAGTAAATAATTGTAACAATTTCATAATTTAAATTTCAAACTTTCTATTTCATACAAAATTTACACTTTTTTTTATCATAGGTATCTAAATGAATGAGTAATACATTGAATAATAAAAATATTAATATTGAAATTTTTGTTTAAGATATTAAGTAATCCATGTGAGAATAAAAAGCTTAATTCTGAGTGTAATTATTAACTTTTGAATAAATGCATGATTTATTTTTGAATAAATTTTCAATTTGCTAAATTCTTAGTAAATAAAATGAAGTGTGCATTTTTTCTGCATATATAATTAATACACCATGTATATTAATATTACGATCAAAACTTTAATCACTATATTTGCAAAGCAGTTCTTGTGAAAAAAAAATATTATAGATCATTTTTTTGAATAAAGGCCTTTTTAAAAAAAAATAAAATGAATGTTTGATATAAGTGGTAATATATGAAATATAATGCAGTGAAATTAAATTGTGAAATCAAGAAATTAAATTCCCTCCATATGTCATAAAATTCATAAATAATTTTATTCCCCCAATTGCACTTATAATTAATTTAAATTTCAACAGCACGCAAATCAAAGAAAAAATCTCAATATTGCGAAAGGTTTCTTTCTATTAGTTCCTAGCTTTTAAAATATTTATAAAAAGTCAATCTGAATAAAATTCAATATTCTATTATCAAACGTATTAGAAATATTTTGAAAGACGAATTTCGAAAACATTTTTTGAAAATTTATTAAAAAGTTGTTGAGGAGACTTTTCATTTATCAAAACATGTTTTCGTTTCTGAAATATTGTTTGCTTACGAATGAAGCAGCCAGTGAGAGTTACGAAAAAGAAACTGTTTTTCTAAGGACATAAGGCTTATGCTTTTCAGGGAAGCTTCATGATCTACAAATGGTGTATGCAAAATATCAAAGGTACTTTACTACAATATTGCTTCTAGTTTTTACTTATAAGGAAGTGTCATTCATTAAATACGTTTTTTTTATATAATATTTTAGTTTCAAAATCATACATCAAATTTACTTTTTACTGTTGTGAAGTTATTTATAGCTTCTTATAATTTATGACTTCAATTAATAGCTTATTATAATTCATGACTTATAATTAACAACTTATTATAACTCATGACTTATAATTAATACTTATTATAATTGATACTTATTATAACTTATGACTTATAATTAATACTTATTATAATTTATGACTTATAATTAATAGCTTTTTAATTATGTTAAACTAAGCTGCAAAAAATTTTGGTGTACAGTTGTTATCATTTTTGGTATTGAGGTAACTAAAAATTTTTNTAATTAACAGCTTATTATAATTTATGACTTATAATTAATAGCTTTTTAATTATGTTAAACTAAGCTGCAAAAAATTTTGGTGTACAGTTGTTATCATTTTTGGTATTGAGGTAACTAAAAATTTTTACTGTGTAAGTAGTCATATTTTTTTATTTACTTTTTCACTGTAATGGTTTATTTATTTAATTACTCATTTTATATTTGTTTGTTTTCTGACTACGTATATTTTCATACACATTACAATAAACTAAATGGCTTCATTGTAAAAAATTATATTTAAAAACAAGCATTTTTTATTAATTTACTCGCAATTATTCTTTCACACAATTGTTATTTATTCACTTTTATAAAAAAATTTCCATAACCACTACAGTTCTCTACTTGAAAATATAATTAGTTTACCTAACCAAAAATGGTGGCAACTATACACCGAAATGTTTTACAGTGTACAATTTTTACCTAATACGCCACCATGTTCTATTTATATTGCAAAAGAAGAGTTCTGTTGAATGTAAATGGTTATTTTAATATCAGATGCTTTTCTTATTTTAAAACTTTAATATCTGCGCTTTAAAATGTTAAATTTAATAATTAGAATAAAAATTCGATTGCTTTATGTAAATAACTGCTTAACTCAGCATGTTACAAGTACCAAATAAGATAATAATTCATGCAATGAATTAGGACGAGAAACTGTCTGAAATTTATATTTTTCATAAATATCCTAAAGGTTATTCTTCTAACTGCATTTGTTACGATGCAATTCGGAAAAATTCAGTGATTTTTAAAAAAAATTCACTCAAACTTTAATTATCAATGTTTTATACCTTCGTAGTTAGAGCAAAATCGACGAAAAATGTTAACTATAGTATTTCATAACCAGAAAACTTTAAGTCGATTAAAAATCAAGAACTTGATTTGCTAATGGCATTTCAGGAACCTTTCTTTTTAGTACTTGCATGCATTAAGTCCACACTGTAAAAAATTTTGGATTAAATTACCGGCACTCAGGTTGCCGTTACTTTTTACCGTAAAATCCATTTTTACCGGAACATGTTGCGGGACAAAAATTTGATCTATCGTAGTTTTTACTGTAATGATTACCGTAAAATCCCTCAAGTTAAATAAGTACTACTGCAAAAATTACGATATAATATTTAACGGTAAAATGAATTTTACAGACGATGCACCTAAAGTGCTGGTACTTTATACCATAATTTCACTCGGATTTTTTTTTATTGTACAGTAAATGAGTCCATCGTAAAATGATTGAGTTAATTTAGCACCATCAAAATGTAATAAATGAAATTAGTTATTAAAGTCTTAAATAAATATACAAACAATCTTTATTTCTATGTTAAATCACTAAATGATCCCACCGTTAATACAATCAGTTTTTGATAAAGAGTTAAAGGACACAATATCAATAATATCAGTCTAGCGAAATGAATTAACTATCAATATCAGTTGCCAATGATGGTATCAGTTAGAATATTTACATCACTAGAAGGGAAGGAAAAAGTTTCGTATAATGAGTTGTTAGTGTCAGATCAATTTGGGTATGGCTTTTGAACTCATTATTTTTCAATTAGTTCAATAGTATAAGGTAATTTATACACGAAGTTAAATTTAGTTTCGATTACGCTTTGTTGCAATTTTAGAATAAGTTTTTTACAGTTTTTGGGTAGTATTAAAATGATTTTTTTCCATTTCAATAACATTTTCGTTTAAAATAAAAAATATATAAAATAATTTTTACATAAATCTTACAATAAATTGCTTTTTTAAAATACCTATTTTTATCTACACATTTTTAATACAGTCTTAATACAGAAATGGCGAAGCATTTGTTATGAAGAAATGTTATATTAAATTGAAGAAATGTTATGTTTTTTTCACTAGAAAGGCTTTAGAAAGCAGCTTTGATATAGGAAATTAAGCAGCTTAAATAGAAAGCAGCTTACAGATAGGAATTATATTCTTAAAGTATTTTCTAACGCATGATATTTTTGGTGATATTATTTATGTTATATTATTTTTGTGACAAATCAAATTATCAAGAAAACAAAGTCTAAATTTCTTCCAAATAGGGCATTTAATATTTCCCATATTTTAATTTCTAGTTTAGATCAGTTATTGGAAATATTCTTCAATGTACATGCAAAAGCAACTATAAAAGATTTTTGTTGCTGAAACTTTTTTTTTGTATAAGGAATCTGCAGTGCGTAATATTATAAAGATATAGTTCTTATTTCAGAGTAAATGATTTGATAAATGATTCAGCATAAATTAATTATTTTGCGCGCTTATTTTTCGAGTAGTTCAACCGCTAAGAAAACTATCAGAAAAATCTTTCCAACGTTGAATATTTGCACTTTAAACCATAACAGGGTTCAAATTTTATGTGATCTGATAAAAGTGTTAAATTGAACCATGCTTTTCTTCAACCTAAACTACATTAAGCAGTATAATATTTTGATTCAACTTCACATCAAATTTTGGTTGATGCAAATTTGAACGAAATTATGATTTAGCACACCCGAAATTTTTAACATTGTAGTCCCTAAAATAAATTAATCATCCAATAGTGATGTTTTATTAATATCAATTCGCGAAATAAAAAGTTTGAGTAATTTTTTTAAACTTATTGCATTTTGTATTCAAGTTACAGAACAAACTACACTGTAAAAAATTCTGGATCAAATTACGGTGAAATTTAACCAGAGGGCAGCATCCGTAAAATCCATTTTACAGTAAAATTCTACACCGTAATGTTTGCAGCAAAATTTATTTAATTATAGTGATTTGATAATTTTACATTAAGAATTACAGTGCGAATTGCAAGTTTCGTAGAATCTTATGGTGAAAATAGATTTTACGGTAAAAAGCACTGGCCCTCGGTGTTCTAGTACTTTTTACCTGAATTTGATTCAGAATTTTTTTTATCATGTACGTTCGAATGCATGATTTAGAAAAAAAAAAGCTTTACTAAGCGTGTAAGATAATCGAATATCTAACCAAAGATATTATTAAGAAGCCCAACAGCGATATTTTCCGATCGATTGATTTCAATTCAAGCCAATAAGCTTTCTTGTATGAAGGTGAGGTTTTTATTGGATTACATAGGAACTAATAGTGTTTTCTTCAGAAAATTATTATTTTCATTGATTGATGTTGCTAAGTGATTGGCTCCGAGACAATGTAGCCAAGAAACGTCGAAAAGAAACTGTCTCCTTTGTTGATTCTCTGACGTCACATTCACCATAATTGGGTTAAGTAGTGCCACACAACACCCCTCCTCACACTTTACCTGGCTACATCTTTCTGCTGAGATACTTGCTTTCGTCGGGGTCTATCGGGACAGTTGCGTTAGTGTGAGTGTTTATTTTGTTCTTTGCATTCACTCGCCGGGGACTTTAATAATACGTTGCATTCTTTTAAAGATATATGAATTACATAAATTACAATGCTGCATATTTTACCTAATGGCTATTTCGAAGGGATATATCCGTAAGCAAATAGAAATTTAATATCATTAATTGTTTCCATAATCGAAATTTCCTTTTTAGATCAGGTGAAAGTGAATTTTATTTTATTTTTAATTGTTCTGTTGAAAAAGGCTGGTCTATTTTACTGGCATTAACCATTTATATACCGTTTTTAGCCTTTTTTTCTAAAAATATATTTGAATTTTCAATCAAAAATTTTTAATTCGCAGAAACTGTTCTACAATAACCATAAAAATTCTTCTTCATTGCAATCTATACCCGAATTAGATTAAAGACTGATTTGAGGTGTCTTTCTATTTGTTGGCCTGTTTTTTCAGAACTGGTCAAAAATATCGAAAGTCTTGCTGCCTTGCGGAATTTTGTTCTTAATGTAAATTCGTAAATTTTCTTGTTTTTGTTTTCTACATATTTCTGTAAACCTCATGTTATACTTTGTGGAGCATGAGGAGTTTTCAATCATTTAAATTAAAAAAAATAAGCATAAAAAATATTAGATAACGAAAGCTGTTTTTAATCCCAAAAAAAGGTAATAGTAAGCAAATAGAATGAAATATAAAAATTTTATTTTAACTATTTCAAAATTTATTTTTTAAGAGAACATAAGCAATTAAATTAATGAATGTGAACGTGATAAATAAAATAGATTTATTTAGCTCAAATAGATTTCTGAATTTGAAATTAAAAAAAAGAAACATACCTATTTTAATCTTTAATCATGAAATAAATTTGCGTTTTTGAGTTAAGAGAGTTTTGTCAAGATCTTTTTACCCAAAAGAACTGTTTGCCACAGATCTCATTTTACCTTTTAGATCTTTGCCAGAATAAGGATATCACTCTTAAAGTTGTTTGAAACATATAATATGTATTTCGATGCAAAAAAAAATTCAGTTAGTACTTAATTAAAAGATAGTTAATATTAAAATTTTTGATAAAAATTTACTAGTTTTAATGCTAAAACAGCTCTTGGAAAAAAGTATAATACTTATGTAAGTAATCATTTTATTTTACTGCTGTAAAAGAAACATGTTCATTAGAATATCCTTTAAGTCAACGTTTCCTTTAAATTAAGTTGACATTAAATCCTTTAAGTAAAGTTTAAAGTTAGCGTTTTGAATACAATACATTTGATGACTCATTTTTTTTTAACTAAAGGTAAGAAATTAGTTTTGATGTAAAAGCTTGTTTCCTTATTCAAAAATATTTTAATAAGTATAAGAAATCACTTTGTTAACAAACTATTAGAAACTTATTTCATATTATACATATTATATTATTTTAACTTTTTATAAATGTTCTGTACGCATGACTAACATACTGTTTAGCCCCCAGGTCCTCCCTCGACCACCCCCAACCATGGCTGCTGTAGATCCCTTGCCTGCAGATGGCCCATCCGTCACCCTTACCATCCGACTCATTATGCAGGGAAAGGTAGGTGTTCATTTTCATGTATTGTAATTAAATTTGCCAAAAAATCCTAAGTATCCTAAGTGTTACTAGCTAATTTAATTTGCCAAAAAATCCTAAGTGTCCTAAGTGTTACTAGCTAATTGCGATGAACTTTTATAGCATAGACTGTTCCTACGCGAAAGATTATTGGATATTTCACTCTATTTCTAGAAATATGTTGGCAAATTGAAATAGCTTAATATACAGGCTAGTTCAAAACTCCAGCCCTTTGCAAAGGTCATCTTTTCACAACGTTAAGCTATTAAAAAAAGTTTCCAGTTGTTTCCAATCAGCATTGCTCAGACTTTTTCAGACTTATCTTAAAAAAGTAATATAATGAATCAGACTAATTGAGAAAGGCAAATGGCTTGAAATACATCAGGCAAATGGAAAAGTAAATGACATATTTTCTTATTAGCTTAAGATTGTCTGGGATCATTGCAATAAGTCTTAAATGTGTTAGAGCGATTAGAAAATACTAGAAACTTTTTTAATAAGCCTGGAGTACATACATGTTTTATAAAATGTTTAGTTCAATGAAAAGATTTTGTTAAAAATTTATCCTTAAGTTCTTGCCATCTTAGCAATGAGTTATTTATAGTGTATTACTTATAATTACTTATAGTGTTACTTGTGTTTCATTATAGTGTGTAACTATTACTTGCAAAACAATTTTGAAACAGAAAATAAGCTTTCACGTGACGCAAATTGAAATTGGTGATATTGTAAATCAAGACTTTTAAACTTTGCTGCCAAATATCTCCGTGGCAGCGTATCAATAGAAAAAAAATTAACCACATTTCTGACTTATACCGGTGAATTTTTATATAATACAAAATATTAACGTCATTGGAAACTTGGAGTGAAACTTGGAATACCTTCTTTTAGAACTGCTTATTTTAGATATTTTTGTAAGTTTACATACGAAATATTTAAAATACAAAATACTTTTTTTATTACTTTTTTTAAAATTGATTTATAAACATCAATCTGGATATATGAACAATATATCCAGATTGATGTTTATATTTTGTGTTTCATTTTAATTTTCTAATCAATATCTAAGTTTTCAAAACATTGCTTTTTACATTTACAATACAAAGAGAAATTTAAGAAACAGTTTTATTTCATTGCAGCTAATATTTAGCAAAAAGCATACTTTTTTAGAATCAATTAAATTTAACTCAAATTTAAACTTATTTTTCTGATCACTAGTGAATTGTTTGATTTTTAATACTTAAAAGGCATTAAAATTTAGTCTTAAGCTAATTTCTGATGGGATATTATTAATTGCAAGAAATCTAACAAGCATTTTAATGAACATAACAAAGGTAATTAAGATGTAATAGTTAGAATTATGAAATTATTGAAGTATTTGACCCAATTCCACGAAGTTTCTTAATGCAATGTAAGACAATAGCTTTACAACATACTTTTAATTGTATAGTGTGCAAAAAAACTGACTACCCTGAATAACTTTTGATCTAATAATCTGGTCTTCACGTTGTAGTACTCAGTCTTAATTGTTCGAGGGTGTGATTTCAAATATGCTTATTAATTAGCGCCGATGACTCTTCCCCAATCACCCTTCCCCTTTCTTTTTCATTGAAACATACACAATTCTATTTTAATTATAATACTCATTATGTGATGCATAGATTGCCCATACTATTTGTTCATTTTATTGTCGACATAACTTAAAAAAAATGTAAAGAACATATTCTTACTAAGGAGAAAAAAGACAGTAACATTAAGGTTATATTTTTTCTACATTGTACTTTTTATTCCAAGTAATTAATTGAAGAAAAACATATTGCTCTTAAGTTTGCTTCTTTTAGAGGAATTTTAGAAACAGTAGTTCATCGCTTCACTACAGCTCTATAATTTTTCATTTGTAACAAAACATCCTCAAAAGAATATTCAATTACTATCTAGCTAAATTTTTGAAACACACTTCTCCAGCTTTTAAATCTAAAACTAAGTTTTGCATGAAGACAGATTTTACAATAACCTAAAGCACATTCGGGAGAAAAAAACAGATAATTTTATCTAATAGCAGTATTTTATTGCAAGAAAGTTAAACAACGCATTGACGAATCATTAACAGTAAAATCAAAAACTCGGTTACACCCATCATATCAATCTGATATTATAATAAAAAAATTACTAACAAAATTTAATTTGTTTTCTTAATAACTCAAGTTAGTTCTCCCTGATTTTTTTTTATGTTCTTTATTTTACAATAAGAAATTCATCTGCAAATAAATAAAAGTGTCACCATCGAAATTTATCACAATATATTATAATGCAAAGATTCAGCAAAGCTGTATTTAATTGATTAGCGCAAGATTTGACAAATTTCTGTTAAGCCTATTAGTTAGTTTTGAATTCAGGTTACTTTACATATATCTCCATCTACTTATAGTGTTAACTGCTGTAATGCATATATGCATGAACTTGGTTTACCAGGAGCTGATACTTGGCTCCTTCTTCGTCTGATGGTATTCGACTATAATTTTAAGTTTCGCTGTTTTCGGAGATTCGCGAAATTTGATTACAGTATTTATAATAGATCTTTTACTTGAAGGGGAGAGTGAGAAATGAAGAATTTGAATAGTGAATTGTATCTCTATATTAAAATTACTGTTCCAAATCACATGATTTGAATCACTTGATTCGAATGGTGATTTGAATTACTTGAATCGAATATCTGATCTGAATTACTTGGTTCAAATCACTTGATTTGAATCACTTATCAGAATCCCTTGATTCGAATCAGTGATGACCATGGAGATTATGGCTCCTCAATTTCGTGACTAACGGATTCTGGCAGTGTGGTCATGGACGTTTGCGTTACACGGAGAAAAAAACAGTAGAAACCTCCCTGGGTCATTTCATTGGGAGGTGAGAGTTCTTACCCCTAAGCCTACGGTTTGCTAAGTTATTACTGACACTAGGGATGCTTAACTTATTGCAGTCGTAGGAAAATAATGTACTTATATTGGCACTAAGGGTATATAGGTTTTTTTTTTTTGGCCAAGCAAAATGAAATCGTACCGAAATGTATATGAATCAAAGATTTCACAGGTTGTATACGTTTCATATTTTCAGAATTTAGTTTTAAGAAATGTGCCACTATTCATGAAAAGTTAGACTAAAATGTTATTTGATTTGCTTCAAAAATATACAAAGGTGAAAAGAAAAAACAATCGACATGTTTCAGACACTCAAAAACAAGCGCCCGTTTTCAAGACCTACCAGACGTAAATGAAAAGAAACAAAAGTGCTTTGAAATCTAAAAGGTAAAGTTGTCAACGGAATATAGAAAACTATAGGTGAGGAACAAAACGAGAAAAACCATTGTAGCCGAGTGAGAAAAAGATGTAAAACAGAACATAAAAAACCACAGAGGCCGAGAGGGGCAAATCAAGGTGAAATGTATTTCCACGCGTTATTATGGTGACGAACAAATGTCGCTCACAAGGGAATCAGCATTGATATGAATAAAGCAAGATTCAATTTTTTTTCCTTGATATGTCCGTTATCAAGAATACGAAAATTCTTCAATTGCTGCGCATTTTGAAATCTTGGACTTAAATCCAATTGAAAAAATGCCAAAATTATTTCAACCCCAATCACATCAGCTCATATTGATGCTCTTGAATCTTGTTTTATAAATATGAATGCTGATTCCGTTGTTAACAACATTAGCTCCTAACCTCCTCACCACAACGCCTAGAAATGCATTTTACCTTGATTGCCCCTCTCGGCCACTGTGGTTTTTTTGTCCTGCTTTTTTTTTATCTTTTTCCCTCTCGGCTTCTGTGGTTTTACTAGTTTTCCTTCTCACCTCTAGTTTTCTATTTTTCGTTGGGAATTTTACGTTTATATTTCTAATCACATTTTTTTCTTCTCATTTATTATATACATTAAAGTCAAATATACATTAAAGTCATTTTTTTATAGATATGTCATTTTCATGAATTTCATTATCAAAGCATTAGCTGATTCGAATTAAGTGATTCAAATTAGTAGTGATTCAATTCAACAAGTAATTCAAATCACCAAAGTGAACTGTTTCCATTGATTCGAATCACTTGGGTAATTCATTTTGCTCAACTCTAATCATAACTTCCATACTGGGATATCTTGTCTTGTCGAAAAGGCATTTACACAGTGAGTAATCTAAGGAAAAAGTTGACAAATACGTTTTAATACTCGCTTTGGATAGCAGGAGCGCTTTGGTAGACGGTGCGGGACATATTTGGGAACATTTGAGGCAATAAAGCTCATTTTTTCTGTTATTGATCAATTTACTTTCAGCTGGGTGTAATTCAAATTAAGTGTAATATTAATAATTTGTCATCAAGTTTTTTTAATAACAATAATGCCTGTTATCATTTTATATTACTACTTTTTCATGAGACTAAAAATTATTTTCTTTATCAAATTTCTTGCTTTTGTTTTGCATACTTTTATTTTCGACAGACATAAAGCCTCGATTTTATTTTAGCTACAATAGTACTCCGTCATTTTGGTATTGGCTCCAACTTTTAAAATCGAGCCAAACTCCTACCGTCAACCGAGATTCTACAGATAATAGCTCTATATAATTGGAATTATATATAATAATAAACAATAAATAATTAACTTTTCAGCGAATTTTAATTAAATATTTAAATTTGTTGTAAATTTTAATACATAATAAATGCATTTTAATGGTTGCTTTTATTAAGCACTAGATACCAAAATAAGAGAGAAAGATTTCTTTTTGCAATAAATACTAATTTACCTTTAATCTTTGTTCCAAACTGAACTAAAAGTTAAAATAAAAATTACTGAAATATGCATAAAAACTCAGAATTTACGTTATTTCATAAACTTTTCTTTAGGCATAGCTGTATAAAATGCCAATTAAAGAAAACAGAATTTTTTTTTCCATTCAAAACACAGTAATAGCTAGACCTGTAAAAAATCACATT